CCCGGGAAGAGCACAATGATGGTGCCAACTTGGGCCAGTGAAGCAACGTCCTCCACAACTAGACTGAAGAACAAAATGACAGCAACTTGTCTGTTCCCTTCCCCCAAATTCCCCAATAAAAAATCTTTTTAAAAAAAAACCAACTTCATGCTGTTAAGACCATTAAAAAACTCTTTCCTTTCACTTGAATGCTTATAGTTTTATTCACAATCACTAAAAATTGGAAACAGTCAAATGTCCACAACTGGGAAACAAATAAACTGTGGTAATACCATTCAATGTAATACTACTCAGCAATAAAAAAGAACTACCAAAACAAGCAACATAAATGAATCTGAAAGCATTATGCTAAATTAAAGATGCAAGACACAAAAAGGCTACATAACTTCCGTTTATATGGCATTCAGAACAAGGCAAAACTTACAGGGATAGAAGTCAGATCAGTAGTTGCCAGAGGATAGGAAGACAGAGAGGGCTGACTACAAGGGGACAGGAGGGACCTTTTTGAGGTGACAGAAATATTCTAAATCTTGATCGCGGTAGTAGTAAAATGACATTATATGTATGTTGAGCTAATAGAAGAGTACATCTAAAAGATGGGTAATTCAACGTAGGTAAATTACACTCCAAGGGGACACACACACACACACACACACACACACACACACACACTTCCAAAAGAAAAAAAAAACCCTTTCCTTCGCGGGAATCCCAACAAAGGGGGTTAACCTGGCCCAAAGCGCGTTTCACAGACCCGCAAACCTCCGAGCCGGGGGAAACCCTCACTGAGAAGCCACAGAGATGCAGCAAATGGGCAAACGGGCGCTTCAACTGCCACCGTGACTCCCCTTGCTATGGACCCAACATTTCCCGGGGCTCCTTACCGATGTTCCCTTCAATGGAAATTTTCTTGATGCGGGTGCCCTCAGAGCTGGTCGCGGGAGATGGGCAGCTCCTCTTGGGCGGGGTGGCCATTCCTGGTCTAGTGATAGCCCCCGAGTGCGTTGGGCAGGGAGAGCTAGGGAGTGGCCACAGGTGTCCGGACCGACGCTGACGCCGAACGCACCCTGACCAACAGGCAGGACTCCGGCCGGTCGCAGGCTCTCCCACCGCTTGTCCTCCCGATTTGATTTTGGCGCGCCGAGGCAACGGCCGACAAGGGCGGGCCTGTGGAGGGGCCGCCCGTTCAGCTGCAAAGTCACGCCCCTTCCTTCTCTGCCGCCCAAAACAGCATATCCTCGGCCCCCTCGGCTTTAGCCAGCCATGACAGGGTCCGCTGCGTGCGCGCCGGGCACGTCGGGTCACGCGGCAGCAGATGGCGGGGCCGCGCTCGCCACGGCGCTCCTCTCCCAGAATGCAGGGGCGGAGCTGGGGGCGTGGTTGGGGTTGGTTCCCTAGTGTCGTGGGAACCAAGGGCGGGCGCTCCAGGTCGGCGGGCGCCTGAGGGCAGAGGGCGCCTGAGGGCAGAGGGTGTCGCTTGCTTTCGTCACGCGGAGTGGGCCGGGTTGGGCTTCGGAGAGCTCGCCTCACCTGTGAGACTTGTGGAGCTGAACAGTCTCTCGGCGGAGTTGGCTGGACTTGAAACTTTGAACTTGTCAGGGAAGAAGCAGTGTGTAATAGAGAAATCAAACGGGTTACCCTCTGTCCTGGAGGACGACTGTCAGACTAAGTGCTGCTTGGCAACCCAGCTAGGCCACTGTTTCTACCTCTTTTCATGCATTAACTAGCAATCCAGTGCTGGAGAGCCCCCACAGCCCCATTTGTCAGTGAGGAAACAGGCACTGAGAGGCTGTTCAAAATCAGTAAGTGGAACTGGGGTGGGAATTTAGGTAGTCAGATGCCACGCCACCGATAGCCTCTTCTAATGTCTCATATCCCTCTTCATTGGATTTGTATGCCCGTTTATGCTGAAGCGGAGCAAAGTATACCACCTCAGATTATGCACTTTGACATACTGATTTTGAATTAAAGGTATTTGAGAAACAACCATTGCAGGAAGGGACACTCTGAACCTATGTCCTCCCTGAAGGAAATAAATCTCTTACGTGAAAGGTTCCTTCCCTGTACCACGAGGGTAGAAGCCAATCTTATCACCAGAGATAGAAAATTTAGGGCAGAGCAAGCTGTGTAAACAAATCTTGTTGCTTCTTCACGCCACGCCCAAACTCTTTGCCTTGGTAATGCTTCACAAATTTGTTTGTATAAAAGCTTCCTGCTTTGCTGACGTCTTTGTCTCATTTTTATGGCGCTCCCATACAAACGAAATTAATTTTTCTCCTGTTAATGTCTTACGTCAATTTAATTATTAGACCTGCCAAAGGCCCTAAAAAGGAAGAAGGGAAATTTTTTCCACCCTTAACTACAATGCTATGTAGAAGTTACTATAGGTTTCTGTTCAGCATGACTGTAGCTTAATTAACATTGCATGTCCTACACCCTCACATAGTTAACAAATATATGTTGAATTTTTGAATATCCATTTATGTGCCATGTACTCTACTAGAACACTCATCTAGCTGGGGACAAATACAGTGTAGAAATGCCCAGAGGAACTATTTTTTACTCATGGTAAAAACCTAGTAAACCATACACTACCCAGTCTAGAAGTTCCTGAGTTCAAATTGTCTACAGGAACCAAAGGCCCTATTATTCTTTTTTACTTTGCAACTGTCATCACATCTAAAATGCATCTAAAGGTGGAGTCAGAATAAGGTGGGTAAATGGTGAATCATTCTCAGAAATAAAGATCAGAAATCAAAATGTGATTCCATGGGGAAATCAAGAATAAAAACAGCAAAAATTATTCTTTGTAATGTCCTTGTTATTTTATGATATCATTCTATGTGTACTATTTTTGTTGATCCCCATAGTGATTAGTAGCAGAATCCTTGAAATGAAAAAGGCCTTGCATGCTAGTCATGAGGATGACAACGAAGCTGGGGAAACTACTAGGTGTTTTATTTCACACCCAAGTTTGGAGGAAAACCCATGAAATGGTAAGGGTGTTGTCAGCTACTGAAAGAGGAGTAAGGCAGGGTGAGTCTCTTAGACCTTCAAATAGGAGGAGAGTAGAACTGAAGAAGTCCCATGTGGATCTGATAAAGGTGTTTGGAGTTGAGGAGTAAGAACCCCAAGTGTGGTTTCCACACACAAAAATCACACACATTAAAGAAGTGCAGTGAGTACGAGTATAAGCATTGGAAAATTAAAGACTGGTTTCAACTCGCAGCTCTGCCAGTTTCTGGCTATGAGAGCTTGAGTTCCTCCAAGCTTAACAGTGTACCTCAAAAATACAAAGTAAATGGGAGAAACAGAGAACCTAGCTCTCTTGGCATCAAGTTCAGTGTGATTTTCCATTTTCCTATATAATCTGTGGATAACATAAGGGGGACCAGAGAAGAGCACTTTTAAAAGTGCCTTTCTAATTTTTGTCTATAACCCATGGGTTATCTGAAACCCATGTAGCCAGATCCATTTCAGAATGAAAAATTTTTTGGATTTTAGAAAATACAGTCATACACTAAATGCATTATATAACCATCCCTCACATTCCTGCAGAGGTGTTAAATACACTAATATTTCACAGTAAGTGGGATAAAGACTATTAACCTCAGAAGGTTAAGTTTGTACTGAGTCAAGAAAACACTTTGCTTTTCAGATTTTAGCATTGCAGATAAAAGACATAGGAGTGGAGCACCTAGCCAGCTGTGAGCATGCTACTGTCGTAACCTTAACCCTTCCTTACCAGAAATATTACTACTCCTTCAATTTGAGAATTCCTTCTCTCCTGTGGGAATCCTGGTGTAACTAAAGAATGAGACAGGGTCCTGACTGATGACATACATACAGGTTTATTAAGAAAACTCTAAACCAACTCAGAAAATGAGAACAAAGGCAGAAAAAAATAACAGGCCCTGAACATTGACAAGTAGTGATTATACAGCCCCATGCATTTGTATACACCAATCCAACAAGTTCTGTGAAAGGATGTTTATCAACTTAATAAGTTTCGTTATAAATTTCTCCTTGCAACCTTCATTATTGCCTAGAAAACAGAAGCCATCATTAAAGCAAAAGTGGAGAGCCCAGTAAATCTGAAGTGTGGTAGCAAAACAACATACTAGAAGGGCATAGGAACCAGCCACCAGCTTTATACAACTCCTTAGTAAAGGAGGCTGTATTTTGCTTCATGCTTGTAAGTTGAACTTAGGTCAAGAAAATATGACACTGTAATCATTATGCTGTTCAAAATGAGTGTAAAACATTGCTTAATCATGGTTAACCTTTATAGGAATAATTATTTAGAATCTTAATGTTACAAAAATGCATCATTCCAGACATTATATACTAAAAAACTATTTAAATTTACTACAATAGACAAGTGAACCTAATTATCAAAATAGTTAATTTTTATGAGTATGTATTTCTTTAAACACAGGTGTTTTGTACCTACTATATGTGCAAAATAACAAGGTGTTTTTATTAAAACATGCAGATGCAGTCCACATCGGCATGGACTAGCATTTCTATTCCTAGTCTTTTCCTCAAATACCAATTACTGACATTGGGCAGCCGTGGCTATTACCATCAAAACATTATGAATGTGATGGTCCAAACATAAATGCCTCTAAATATAAATACCTCTAAATAATGATATTTTTACTATACTCTAAAATATACATTTCCTTTTGGAATTTAGGTATCAGGGTAAAATTAAGATTTTCTAATACTATTTAACGGTCTACAATGTAGACAAAATTAGTTAAAATCTTAGCTTCATGGAAATGTCAACAAATGATTAAATATTTTGCTAACTGTTCTCATGGTAATAGTACAATAGTCCCACCTTATCCACAGGGGATACGTTCCAAGACTCCCAGTGGATGCCTGAAACCTTAGATAATACCTAATCCTATATATACTATGTTTTTTTCCTATACATAATACACTTCACGGCTTCTCTTCGGCATACCCAAGTTTGCCAGCATCACTAGTCTTGTGCTTTGGGGCCATTATTAAGTAAAATAAGAGTACCTGAACACAAGCACTGTGATACCTCCACAGTTGATCTGTTAACCAAGATGGCGACTAAGTGACTAATAGGCAAGGAACTTATACAGCGTGGATACTCTGGACAAAGGGCAGATTCACATCCAGGACAGGTGGAGCAGAATGACATAAGATTTTATCATGCTACTCAGAATGGAGTACGATTTAAAACTGATTATTTCTGGAATTTTCCATTTAATATTTTCAGACCAGTTGACCCTAGGTAATCGAGGATAACAGGGGACTACTGTATATTTAAAGAAAACAAAGCAATTGCTTCAAGGTCAAGCATATTTGGGTTATTAAACTCTAGTACTAATCATTGAATTTCTAAGCTTTAGATTTCTAGTATGTAAGACACTAAGATACTACCTTCTAGGGTTACTGTGAACATTATAAAAAATAATGCCTAACACATTTTAAATGTTCAACATATTGGAAATACCTTCAATATTTCTCTAGGAATGAGTTCAGTGAGAGAATATCTGTAGCAAAAATAAGCAGTAATGAAAAGTCAGGATTCATGGCCAAACATAGCTATTTATTAATTTTTGTAATAAACATTCAGTTTCTTCCTTTAAAAAAACCTAGAATTTAAATATTTCCCATCCCATCACCTACAAGTCTGTATACATTATTTACATCTCTCAATTAAAACTTATTACAGATTTTCTAACATTCAGTATCCTCTTTTAAAATAAAAATGACGAAGCAATAAACTTTGATCAATAACTACAATTTGAGTAAACTTGGCACAGCTTACAATATAGCGCCTGTGTTGCATTATGTATTTTAGACCATTTCGCCCTTCCAGCTACTTGAAAGAAAAATTGTCTGTCTCCAAAAAAGCAGGATCCCTGTTTCTACAGTCTCTGCAGTACTTGCCCAGTGTGGATCTTGCCCTTACGCTTCCATTATATGACACTGGCAGTATTCATCTGCTTTTGTCCCCACAAATGATTCCTGTTGAAACTTTTTAAGTGTTAAATGATTTCTATTGAAGCTTTAGGTGTTCTCATGTTTACTGTATTCTCTCTCAATCTAGATTTCATGGCACTGTTCCTAGATAATTTTAAGTAATAATGTACAGGAAAAGTTAAAATAGAACAAAAGTGTTCCCCCCAAGATTAGTGTACCACTCTTGCTATGCATGTACAAAAATAACAAATACAATTTAGTGGCTGTAAAAAACTATTTCCCCTAAAAATAGTTATTTCAAATGAACAACGTAAGAAGGAAAGTGTTCTTAAAATGAAAATGCACTAATCTATTTCACAACCAGCACAATTATTTCAGAAACAAAATAAAAAGGAAACCATGTGTAAACCAGTAAGAAACACCCCCACATAAGAATTTTATAATATATAAGAGAAACTAAAAATTAACAAAATTTTTTTAATGATCTCAGCTTCAGTGACATATTTAAAGAAAGGTGTCAACCAAAAAAAAAAAACACCAAAAAATGCCTATGTAAGTAGCATCTTCCAACACATTAGCTGAAACCTGTGTCCTGTGTATTGGCAACAAGTACTTCAGAAGCACTAACAATGAGGACCTGCACAATCAACCTGTTTTGTTTTCCAAGTGGGTGTATACTGGAAGGGTGTGTGGTACGGAGAGTCAACAGCAGTAAGAAAGTAATTTACCTCCAAGGAGAAGGAGATAAGTAAACACACAGCTAGAAAAGGCCAGTGATTTCACTATCCATCTTTTTGAACTGTAATCCAATGTTTTCTATAGTATAGTATTCTATGTAGAAAAAGAAACTTTAGATGCACACTAGCAAAACTGAGAGTTATCCAATTTTTTCTTTTCTCAAAATTTAAATGTCAGTTCTGCTATAAGTGGCAGGCATGCAGCACAGTTTTATACCCTCAAAATGAATTCTTCTATGTGATTAGCACATTAGGAAAGCCCTAAAAATTCAAATTGTCTAGTCAGAATTGTTATTATATCTTAAAATGAAACTTTTCCATTAAATCTTGAGATAGTTTTACCTCTAAACATTTCTCATATACCATTAAACTGATAGCTGAACAACAGTAATTCCTACAGTGAATCTTAACATTATGACAAACTGGAATATTTAAATTATTTTAGGAATGGTCCTTGAAGTATAAATCTAGAATAGTGTTTCTAAGAATTGGTATATTCTTTAATATCCCAGATAAGTTTCAAAATGAGTAAAGTTTTCCTCTTGGTATGCAGTCACATTTTCAAATTACGAATATATTTCCGGTCCCATATCTTTTAAAAAGACATTTACAATTTTAAAATTATAAATGATACATGAAATGGTTATACAATTTTAAATATTTTATCTGTGATATATAGGCTTAAAACTCAGCCTAATTAATATATAAAACTTATTCCAATTTTTTTGTACAATGATCTCCAGTCTTTAAATTCAAATTGTTCATCTGAGTAAAAAAAAAATTGTTTTTTAAAGGGTGGAGGTAAAGGCTGTTGTTTCCTTAAGCTACTTCTACCTTAAATATTGGATCCATTTTTTTATTATCCTATCAATCAAAACTATCCTACAGTAGTCAAGATTAAATTCAAAAGTTACCAAAGAAAGGAACAAGAAGTAGAAAACAAGAGAAGACTCTGATTTTTTTATTATTATATTTAACTGTAAGGGAATTAAACTAACCCTTAAAAAACATAACCTATACATCCAAATGATACCATCTATTTCAAAGTAGTGCTATCAGGAAACTACTCCTTTATTAAATGATGCTACCAGTGCTCAAAACATTCTCTTATGCAAATTCAGAACATATGGCACATTCTTTTGAACTTCCCTAATGGTTTGGTTCTAAGAAAACAGCACAGTCGAGTTGGTTTGGTGAATGAGATAGGTCACATTAAGCTTGCCCAAAAAAGCTTTTTGTGCAACTAAAATAATGAAATAGATATTTTGCATAGTCATAAACCAATTCTCAAGGCATCTTTGAAAACATTCCAAAAACTTTACACCTTTGCAGCATAGATAGAATAAGTAGTGCTCCCAAAGGAACTACTCTGAAAATCAACTCTCATTTGGATGTTTAAGGTATGATATATTTATTTTAAAAGAAAGTCCTACAACTTGGTAATCGCATCTCACATATTTTTACCATTTCAGTGGTTATCAAAACCTCTCTCAGAGAGGGTGTAGACAAAGGTATAAAAGAAATCTGTCATTTTGCTATTTTCCCATAAGCAAGGAAAATGCTAATACATAAAATGCAGTCTGGTGATTACATGTAAAATATAAATATCCACATCACCTGTATTTCCTCATAAGCGATTGTAGTGCTTTCTTTCCTGATAAACCAGGCAGTAATTCAGTCTGAGATATATTATACACTAAACATGTGTTTCCTACATTTTATGCTGACCATTTAGAATTTACAAATGACAAAGGTAAAAAGCGATAGCAATCTAAACTCTTTCATCAAGGTACATAACCTCCAAAGCCTCTACCAGCTAACTAAACCACGCTTACTGTTTTAGTGCAGTTTAATGTCATGGGTTTTATGGCATAATCAAGTCAGCAAATGAAAGCCAGTAGCACCATCTACTGCTAACTAAAATATTTTCCCTCCTTCTGTTAAATTCTCTCCAACACCATTACTCCATCATTTAAAATAATTCCTAAAACTTGCTTCATAGGGACATTTAACGAAAGCATTGTGGCAATAATACTATGTTAACTTACTACTTTATATTTTATGCTTTTATCAACAGATGAGAGCAACAACTTCTGCTTTGTATCTCTGTATAAAGCACTGAGGTGGAGCGAATCCTTATCTTGGTTATTTATAAATTAAAAGAGAGATCTGGAAAGAGTCCAATAGACATTTATTTATAAGCAAGCTCTGCTGCAAAGCCAAAATCTGATCCTTATTTTATAAAGGGCATCTCACTAACATTCATGGGAACCAACTGAATCAAAGCCATTTTTCTATTAAATCAGTTATTTCTCAGATTCTGTGGTGTATTTTTCCCTACTTGTAGCCACATAACACCATGTACAATGCCAGGCCTCTTCCTGGGAGAACTTCTCTACTTTGTTACCATATATACACACACACAACACCTTACTTCCCAATAGCTCTGTTTAAAGGAATACTCATAAGCAGGCACCTGAGATTCTGGCATAGTGACAACAAACTCCTATATACATACAGTGGGAAAGTAGGTCCTACTACTAAACATTTATACAAACATTGTTCCTTTTTTACAGAGTAGTGCTGTATAAGGCTTAAAAGAGTATGAACAACTTTGTGAGGGGTGAAAAGGATAACTATTGCATTGTTTTGTACACCTGAAACTAATAATAAAAAATATATATATATGAACAATTTTTCACTATTCTATTTGCTATTGCAACCCCTTTATTACTAGGTTGATATGAAGTCAAATGCAGTATGAAAAGCTACTTGAGTAATGATGTGCGCTTCATGTTCCTAAATAGATAGGACCCCAAATCACTTGATGCCAAATTCTATTTCTGAATCAACCCATAATCGCTGGTATTACCTATTTGGATACTAAAAGATTTCTCTTAAGGAAATCAGCTAGTTCTCACTGCAATTTATAACTAAGTATTACCAATGAATGTCCAATATGTTTGCCTCTGCCAGGCTCTCCTGTTATTTCTACTTCTGGTACTTGGAGAATGATTGCTATAAATGAAATGGAGAAAAAGGCAGTTCCTAGAGATCATAATTGTATTGGCATTAAATTGTATCACTGCTCGACTTGTTAATGGCAAAAACAATCTGATTTCATTTTAGATTATTTTCTAAGTGTTTTTAGTCTACACAATTTCAGAGCACTATTTGTATTTTACAAGGAAAAAGGTATATATTTCTAACTGAGGGAAACAGATTTACCAGAAATGACAAAAATTAAAACTGGAAGTCTGAAAAGAATGTATCTCAAGCATACAACTGAAGTGAAAATGTTAATAGTTATTTTAAAAACTAAATTTCTGAACTTTTTAATATGAGTGATTTACTAGAAAGTCATAGAAAATAAAATATAAAAGTTAATAATTACTGAATCAGCACTTTCATTGTTTGCTATCACTGCAAAGAAAAATATTTCCTACCACAGTGAAAAAAATCAGAAGTCAGAATGCTTCAAATTGGGCCTATAATAAGCAAAAAAGGTACTGTATCATTTAAAAATGACAGGCAAACACTAGCTCCATTCACTGAATGGAAATGCTGGAAAGTGGTCCATTTCCCCAAATAGTCCTTGAATTCCATATTTAATATCTATACCTAAAATTAATATTTTTAACTTCTCATGGAAGTTGATTTCTAAAAAGAAGTCTCTAAGACTCTGCTTACAAGAAATTGATTAAAATTTCCATGCCATTCTACTCAAGGGTTTTAAGACAGGACTTTCTTAAACTTGACTCCCCATAATTAATTTCATCCCTAAGTCCCCATAAAAATTAACCCCCCATAACCAAACACACACTCCTATCCCCTCATCTTCAAAGTAAAAGGGGATTCTGCAGACTTATGGCTCATTTGGCAATTGCAAAGAAACCTCACAGTTCAGCATCACCTCTGAAAATGGCAAACCTGTATATAACCTGAATATTTACACCTACAGTGCAGTTAACATGTAGAAAGAAGCCAAAATGCAATAGGTATTGCGTTTCAACATCCTCAAGTTTCAATATCACAGATATCAAGAGATGGAAAAGACCTGCTTGTAGAACTTTAAGTATTTGTTGAACAGAATTACCATTAATATAAAAAATAATTAAGAAATACTAATTTTTTATGTTCTACAGGCACACCTTTACAAATTGTATTTCTTCAATGTAGTAAGAGCTAGAGATCACCAATTTAGGTAAACTATGGCTTTTTTCGTAGATATTTTAAAACATGCATCATCAGTAAGTGCCCTGGGTAGTAATCCTAATATAGTTTCAAGCCCTGTTCGTTCTATGTCTGTGCTTTGCACCTCAGAAGTGAGCCTGCCAAGGCACTTAAAAACATAAATCTTTTAGGGACTTCAAAAATTGGCCACAATTTATATAACACAGAACCCCATCCATCAGCAGTCCAATCAATGAGCATTTTCTTTCAACACACAATATTATCAAAAATTCCACAAGTAACCAAAACCAAGTTTAAAAAAACACACCATATGCCACTAAGACAAAATTTACGCCTATCAAATGTACAGAGAATGGTTCCTGGCTTCTTCTGGCAATCAAATAAGGTTTCATTTATTCAGAATAAAGAAAAAAGAACCCAAACAAGCCCCCCAAACTTAAGACAAAAACAACCAAGATAAAAATAAAATCAACAAAATCCAAATATGCTCCAGACAGCTTCATTTGAGGAACAATTTGCACAGTTCTGCATCCTCTTATCTGTCCTTTGAGGTGAGTTTTTCAATCAGTTCTTGGAGTGGTGCAAGTTCTCTTCTATCAATCAGGTTGAATTCCTATGCATGATAAAGAAAGGCAGAGGAAATAGCAAAAACGTATTATTTACATCTCATTCCAAAGCAGATTTCCATCAATGCTTGCTGAAAATTAGCTTTTAAAGCAAATAAAAGTCAAATCTTTTTTCAAAAAACATTTTTTTCTATTCCCTGGCTCTGTCTTAGACAAATCACTTAACCACTTCTGATACTGTGTTTTACATATGTAATAATATTAGGATAAATTTTCCTAACTCATAAAATTATTGTGGGGACTAAATGTGATACTGTATGTTAACCACTTCATACTGGCACAAAGTAAACACTCAATAAATGGGAACTGCTGCTTCCTGTTAAAAGAAATAACTTGGCCACCATCTAGATAGAGCCAACCAAGCAGAGATCAAAAAAATCTAGCACCTCAGGAAAATTTCGGAGTAAAACGAGATAGTTTATGTTATAAACTAAGATATATACAAGCTATCATGAGATGCGGTATGAGAATATCATGAATAATATGGAGTCCATAAACGATAAAATTCTGTAAAGAAAAAATAAGAAAGCCTGGATTTACTAAGTTCCACCCCTATCATTCTGAAGTTTAAATCTAAATAGATTTCCCCTGAACTATAAATTATAAGACTAATAAATGGAGGCTGTCTATACTTCTGATCTTCTTCCGTGGTGGGGTATTCTGAGCTCCCAATTTCATTCATTTATTAGCATCCATCATGTGGCAAGCACTACAGTAAGTACTGGGGAGAAGCATTAGGGGGCATTTAAAAGCAAGCCTACCCCTAAGATTTATAAGGTCTGAACCAAGAACACAAATGGATATATATCATATGACTAAATTATTAAATTTTACACTAAGCTACAATAATATATTGTTAAATAAAATACGTTCTGTTCTCCTACTTTGACAAATATACCTTCATTGTGACCCTGAGAGCAGATTCAAATTTAGAAGTCTCAAAGCTCCTCAGAACTCTACACTGGAAAGGAGTGACATGAGGAAAGCCAGTCTCTGACCCTCGGCAAACTTCTCTGATCTCCCAACCGCAGCTCCATCCTGCTCTTCAAGGGGATTCACATGCATGAATGTGCACACCCTGTCTGGCTTATATAGGCAAAGCCACACACCCTCCAACAGCTGCCATCTGGCTACCCCTTAGGTCTAGATATATATATATATATATATATATATATATATATATATATATATCAGATATATAACTTTCCCTCAAAAGAACAGACCCAAGGAAAAGATCCATGCAGATCCTGGAAATATACTTGGGACCATGTAAGCAGGGAATTCTGAGGTAGAAGCACACACCAGAAGGGATCTGGGTAGGTAGGTATGTTGTCGGCCCTGTGCATTCCTCACTCTGTGGGAAGGAGTACAGCTGGAAAAGGGCCAGAGCAGGATTCTCTAAATTGTGAGATCAAGGGCAGAGGCTCAATCAAGGCTGATACTGCATAAGTAATGGACCTACCTTTCATATGATCACAGTGGCCTGAGAAGTAAACAGGCTCAGATGCATTAAATGCCACATAATTTGCTAGGAGTTGGGAGATACAGTGTAGTTTAAGATCATAAGTAATGTAAAACTAACTCCTCTGGTGGAAGAATATCCGCTCTCAAAACACTAAAACCTGAACTTCAGCAATCACGTCTGCCTAAACCAAAGCACAGATGCAAACTTTAGGATAACATCTTCTTTGTTTCTATGGGTGACTGTAGATGGAATAACATATAAGGTTATAGTAATCAAGACAGCATGGAGCGCTCATAAAAACAGACATATAGATCAATGGAATAGAGACCGCAGAAAGAAACCCACGCATATATGGTCAATTAATCTATGACAAAGGAGGCAAGAATATAGTCTCTTCAATAAATACTGTTGGGAAGACCGGACAAGTACATACAAAAATGAAACTAGACCAACCTTATTACACTATATACAAGAATAAACTCAACATGGATTAAAGACTTAACTGTAAAACCTGAAACCATAAAACTCCTAGAAGAAAATATAGGCAGTAAACTCTGACATTGTTCATAATAATATTTATTTTGATATATCTTGGCAGGCAAGGGAAACAAAAGAAAAAATAAATAAAAGGGACTACATCAAAGATATCTGCCAATGATACATCCGATAAGGGGTTAGTTAATACCCAAAATTTATAAAGAACTCATACAACTTAACACTAACAAAATAAACAATCCAATTAAAAAATAGGCAGAGGAACCTGAATAGACATCTCTCCAAAGAGGACATACATATGGCCAACAGACATATGAAAAGATGCTCAATGTCACTAATCATCATAGAAATGCAAATAAAAATCACAATGAGATATCACCTCACTCCTGTCAGAATGGCTATCATCAATAAATCAACAAGTGTTGATGAGGATGTGGGGAAAAGGGAACCCTTGTGCACTGTTGGTGGGACTGCAAATTGCTGTAGCCACTATGGAAAACAGTATGGCAGTCCTCAAAAAATTAAAAATAGAACTACCTTATGACCCAGCAATTCCTCTTTTGCGTATTTATCTGAAGAAATTCAAAACACTAATTCAAAAAGATATATGCATCCTATTTTCACTGCAACATTACTAATAGCCAGTATATGAAAGAAACTTAAGTGTCCATCAATAGATGATTGGATAAAGAAGAGGTGGTACATATATATACACTGGAATATTACTCAGCCATAAAAAAGAATAAAATCTTACCATTTGTGACAACATGAGTTGTGTGCTAAGTATTGTGCTAAGTGAAATAAGTCAGACAGAGAAAGACAAATACCATATGATTTCACTTATATGTGGAATCTAAAGAACAAAATAAATAAAACAGAAACAGATCCACAGATACAGAAAACAAACTGGTGGTTGCCAGAGGGAGGGGTTTTGGAGGGCCAGGTGAAAAGGTGAAGGGAAAAGTAGTACAAACTGGCAATTACAAAATAGTCATGGTGACATACAGCCCAGGGAATACAGTCAATACCATGGTAATAGCTATGTATAGTGCCGGGTGGGTAATAGACTAGTCAGGGGGATCACTTCTTAAATTATATAAATGTCTAACCGCTATGCTGTGCACCTCAAACTAATATAAAATAATACCAAATGTCAACTGTAATTGGAAAAAAAAAGAATTAAATTAATAAATATTGCTCAGAGCAAGTTTTAGAAAGTTACTATTAATATCTCCTAAAATGCGTTATATAGGTGATAATAAGACATAAAATGTGTGCCTTCAGTGTGAGGAGTGTGTATAGAGGGAAAATAGACACATTTTTCTTTAGTGGAGATAGGGATCAGGAAGGCATTTGTAAATATACACCCACAGATATACAAAAACAACAAGAGAGTCAAGCCTTGGACTTTCCTGCCTACCATCTCCTCTCTCAGTCTCCACACACACACAAAAAAGCTGGTTAGCTAGTTTATCTTTTCCACTTGTTTTTTACTCCTGGCTGTCCTGTAATTTTCATAGCAGGGTAAGAATACCGTCACTCTTCTTAATCTCATCTCTAAGGCCAGTTATCTGAGAACTAAAGAAAGGAGAGGAGGCCGATCAAAGACTAAGGAGTCAGATCAAAGACTAATGGACCTCTGGAATAGCAACGGTCTTTGGGACATTTTTTTCCCCTTTGGGCATAATGGACAGTACCTAACTTAAAAATTATTCAGAATGATTTTTTTTAAAGGGGAAAAAAGTGTGATATTCAAAGCCCATTTCTAGGGCAGAGTGTATACTAAAAAAGTTCCATGGTAGACAGGAATTGAGGGTAAAGAGGAATGGGAGGAATGCTAAAAAGCTTAAGAGACCAAGTTCATCTATAGGTCTGCCAAACTAGCCAGATTCCATAATAGCCCATTAACTGAAGCAAATCCAAATAGGCAAGACTACTTCTGAGGTCCATTTTAGACTTGCACTCCACCAGCGTGAAGATGAATGGAATTCAGAAACAAAAGGTATCATTATGGCAAGTATATTAGAGGATGAAGACTAGAGAGAGATGGCTAATTTTATCCTGACAGTATGAATGCAGTATTCACATCAGAACTCTGCAGTTAACTGCTCTTACTGAGCAAAAAAGGCCTTCTAATTCAACTTACCTGGACAAAAAAGATAAAGTGCTTGAAAGATGTATTCAGATGTGCTTCCTCCTGAAGCTGGATCACGGGGTCAAAATGCTGATGATAAATGTGAGCATAAACCCGAAAGAGGCGTTTGAGTATAGTTTTTGCCACAGACATGAAATTCTTCGGGAACGGGACACCTAGTAAATAGATAAACCCAATCTATCAATAGTAAGACAAAGGAACAAAGTAATATGAATTTATCACCAAATAGCAACTTAAATTACCAAGACAAGGCTAAAAAGAACAAGTATTTATAAATTACTACTTAATACACCCACTGTGCTTTTCAAAGTTCTCAACATATGATGAATGAAAATAAAGTACTAGCCTCTATGGAATAAGAACTAGTCTTTAGTATAGCCCTTTAGGCCTCTAACATACCACCACTTTAATAAAATAAAACAAATAAGTGTCTAAGATGGAAATGGAGCTAAAACTCACACTCAGATCCTCAGATTTCACAACATCAGGTCTCAATGTCTCAATACAAATATTTGCTGAACACAAATAATGTACTAACCATTTTCATTTTTGTTTAAAATGCTTGCAGTATATATACACATACACACATGTTCCTCTTTTAAAGTTTTGTTTTAAGAAGCAGAGACCAGTGATTTACAGATTCCTCAAACTATTAAAAATTGGTGGAAGAGATAAAAGGTATAAAACCCCCATTTTATAGTATTTTACCCTTTCATTTAAAAAGTCAGACATAAAAAGTATAAAAAAAGTCAGACATAACTTAGACCATTTCCAGAAATCAGATCACCTGTAGAATCTAGAGTCTAGAAAGATATACACAAACTTCATCTATGAACCTGACCGAGGGTGGCACTGTCAGCAAGCTGTGTGGAGAGGCTGGGGCTTACAGTATATTTTTTAACTTTTTTTCTATTATCACATTACTACTCCAGGTCTACATTTATTCTAAAAATAGATGCAGTCTCTGCTTAATTAGGCTCACTGTTATGAATTACAGCACTTTTATAACATTAAACAAATATAAAACTAGAAAAACACAAATTTTCATACACTTTGTTACACTTGTTAAATAATCCTGATTGGCAAAACATAAGCCAAATACATGAATTACTGGGTTGAATGTCATCACATTACCTACCACTCATTTAAAAATATTATCAGTCACAAGGAAATATAAGACAAACCAAAATGAAGAGATACTATATAAAACAGTATGCCGACAGTCTTCAAAAATATCATTGTCATGAAAGTCAAAAAAAGACTGAAGTACACATATCCTACATTAAAGAAGGCTGAGACATGACAACTGAATGCAAAGAAATGTTAAAAATTTTCTTTTGCTATCAAGGACGTTATTAGGAAAATTTTTAAAATCTGAGTAAAATCTATAAATTAGACAACAGTCTTGTATCAGTGTTAATTTCCTGATTTTGATAGTTAATGCTGTGATTTTCTAAGGAAATGCACATTGAAGCACATATGGATAAAGGGGTATCATATATGCAATTTATTCTCAAACAGTTCAGGAAAAAGAAAAAATGCGGGGGGAGGAAGGCAAAGAAAGAAAGCAAATGTGGTAAAATGTTGGCAACTAAAAAAATCCAGAAGGATATACAGGGATTCTTTGCACAATTCTTGCAAATTTTCTAAAAGTCTGAAATTGGGTCAAAATAAAAAGTTAAAAAATATACTATTATGGGAGATAAAAGATAAGGTAAGGGCACTTATCCAAAACCATTACGATGTATATAAGTAATGCAGTTGTGAAAAATAGACCTTTTATTATAAATGCTCCAAAGTACTGAAAACATTCAATAAATGTATTTAAAACAATCCATAATAACAACTATTTACATTACTATCTCCTCCACCACATCCTTCCTCCAAAAGCTAAACCCATAAAGTCAAAAAGTTGTTTATTGTTAGAAGAGCAAATACCTAATTTTTTTCAGGAAACATAGTTGTAAGAAGTTTGAAAAGGTAAAATCATATGAACTGTCTAGATGTGAAAATTCCCACTTCAGAGGCCAGCCCTTAAGAGCAAATATAAAAAAGCAAAAGTCACTGAATTGATAAGAGACCAACTCTTCAAATTTTGTTTTCTTCTACCTAGCTTGATTTCACAGTTTGTAAGATTCACACTATCCGGTCATAAATTCAAACTCCCTATTTGTCACAAATATAAAACTGGATGTAAGTCATATAAACTATTTCCCTAAACAAGAAATGGACATGACTGTTGCAGACGATATTAGCTGCCTACCCAATATCCAGTCCAGATTGTTACTGTCCAAATACAGTGATCTTCTTATTGTTTAAAATTACTGGGAGGTTTATCTTAATGTTCATAATAAATTGGTATAAAAAAGATGGGACACTTTTAAATGTATAGGATTAGAAATATTTTGATAGGTATGGTAATCTAATATAGTTCCTGGAATAGAGAGTCAATAAGCTCTACAAACATATAAAATTAGATAAATCATGATGGATCCCAATTATATAAAAAAATTATACCGATTTTTGATGGAAATAATGTCTCATCATCCAACTGGTCCTGAACCCAAGTCATCAGGTAATCGATATACTTTGGAGCAGAGCACTTAATAGGCTTCTTTATGTTTGTTCCATCTGCCCAATGATATTCATATCTGTATTGGAAAGATAAAAAGCACACAAAATGTCAGTATATACCTACATAGCATGTATGTTTTTTGTATTATAAATGTATATGTATTATGAATGTATATACAGGACATATGTTAAACAATCTACTCCTCCAAATAAAGATTTTCGCACTTGGCATTTAAATTTGGCATTTTTAAATGGCTACTGGACTATTTTGCTTCTCACAATCCAAACTAAGCATATTCCATCAAACTCATTTTTGTGTTTCTATGCTCTCCTCACATGTTCTAATTTTTTTATACAGCTTCCTTTCATATATAGCATTCATATTTTAGTACATTTAGTACATTCATACATTGCCTTAGTAGAAAACCTAACTTACTTCCCACATCTGTGATGACCATATTTAAATTTTATGGTTGTTTTTCTTCCTTAAAAAACATTTCTCCTTATGCAGTACACTTCTTTTAAACTTGGGGCTTTGAATTTTGGATTATGGATAGAAAATATCATGGGAAGCTACAAAGTAAGATGAATGAATAAGAGAATGACTCAAATGACCAGAAATGAAAAACTGAAATATTGTTGAGACAGGTGATGAAATGCAAATGGTGTCTCTGAAAGTATCCTTGTTTTTGGAGAATACATGATTGAATATGCATTGGTAAAGGGGCCTAATGCCTACAACTTGCTCAAAAGGCTCACAAAAATTAACGTTAATGAGTATACAGAGAGAGTGAGTGATGAAGCAAATGGAGTAAAATGTTAATAATTGGGGAATATGGGTAAAAGGAATATGGGAGCTCTTTCTGCTGTTCTGGCAGCTGTTACGTACACTTAAAATTATTTGAAGTTTCAAAGTTTAAAATAGTTTGAAAATAAGTTATTTTCAATACATTTGAAATAAGTTCTTTTCCCCAAAAATTACCTTACGAAATACTCAAAGCACATTATTTTGAACATCTTTGATGATGGCAAACACAATTCTTTTTAAAAGGGCTGGATTCTGAGAAACATCTAAACTCATTTGGAGTCAATTTGAGGAATAAGGTAGATGACCTAACTAGGTAATACTTTGTTCAATACGTAAATTTGGTCAATAAATAAACTATGAGTCTGATGCTGCAATTGAAATGTTACCAAAAATATTCTGAGCAATGAAAGTATTAGTACAATAAGTGGCTAGCAATCTAAGTTCACTACTTATAATGATAATATTCCTAAGCACTAGTAAGTGTGGCCAGTTTTTTTGTTTTGTTTTCATATTCCCACCTTGTATACAACTGGGAAGAGAGAATGTACTTTATGGAAAGTCAGCACTAAAATTAAAACTTTTCTCTATATGCCTTGTAAATATCAACATTTCTTATAAGAAAATAATACACTGTAGCAGTTAAGAGTACAGACACTAGAATCAAAGAGACATAGATTTCAATCCTGGTTCTGCTGTTTCTAGATAATAGGACCTCGGACGTGATACTTATTAACCTTTCTCAGACTCGATTTATTTTCCTATAAAATGAGATAAATAGTTTTCTTACCTCATAGGGTTGTTGTATAAAGGCCTTACATTTAGGTAGCACTGAATAAATGGTAGCTATCATTGTTATTATCAGCCATAGTAATAATAAAAGCCATTTTCAAAAACTTATTGATCCAAGCTACATTGAGTGGTAACTGGCAGGCACTGTTCTTGCACCAAAAGGGATTTAGAAGAAAAAATCTAACAGGTTAAATAAGACATGTATAAATACTGAAAGTATAATGTAACAAAGAAATGTAATCATAAAGACAAAAAAGGTAAATAGAAAGATCACATCTAGTCTGAAGAAATCAGAAGGAAGCATTTGATGTGGGCCCTGAAGATGGGTAAGATCTTTTAAAATATTAACAGAAGCTGATAGGATGGAAGGGAAGAAAAGAAAAATAACCAAGAGAAGAACAGAATCAGCAAATTTTCAGAGTATAAGCAATGGAGAGAATAGCAACGCATTTCCAATAATCTAGTTTGGATAAAACAGAGGAAATACATAATAACTGAACAGAGGAAAGGCAGAATGGAGGGCAATGCAGGAAGGGCCATAAGGTTCAGGCTCAGGAATCTAGACTTAATATTGGGTTGTCGGAAAAGTCATATAGTATTTTTTCTATGTTTTTCGTTGCAAAAATGTGTCATGACTTTTCTGACAACCCAATATATTACTCACTGATAAACCACTAAAGGAGATACTAAGTACAGAAAGTATATGGTCAGAAATTTTCTTCTTATCTAAGAACTATAAAATAAGGTAAAAATGAGAAATGATCATGAGCCATGTCTTACTTTGGGCCAGCTGACATCACTGGACAACTTTCCTCTGTACAGAAATCGGTGATTGTTCCATAAAGCATGTTGATCTGATTGAAGAAATCCACAGCTACAAAGAAAACATCAGCTATAAGTAAAACATTAAATTTTAATTTCATTCAAGCAGAATCTAGATTTATCAGTGTTCTTTCCACACATACATAGATTTCCTTGTTTTTTATTATTGATTTCTAGCTAAATTCCACTATGGTCAAATGACGTATGTTATATGAATTCAATCCTTTCAATTTTTGAAAATGGGCATGTGTGTAATCTGAGGTATTTAGGTCATGTGGTCTCAGGTCGTCTATTAATCATGTTGCTCAAATTTTTCTAATTCCTTGTTGATTTTTTTCTTCTACACTTTTATCCATTACTGAGAGAAGTGTTTAAATCCCCCATTATGACTGTGGATTTGTCTATTTCTTCTTTTAGTTAAGTCAAATGATTTTAATATATTATTGAAATGTTATTAAAGACAAATTCAGAATAGCATATATTCTTTGTGAACTCAACCATTTATGATTTTAAAATCTTCCTCCTTATTGGTTTTTTTTTTGGGGGGGGGTCTACTTTATCTGATATTAACATGACTATATCAGCTTTCTTTAGATTAGTATTTAAGTTTTTAGTTTCAACCTGTATCTGTATAAAGTATGTTTCCTGGAAACAGAATTTAGATTTTTTTGTTTATAATCATCTTGACACAATAGTTGCCCTTTTTTATTGAAGCATTTGTCCTTTACATCTAATACAAATTATTACTATTTGGATTTCAATTTACTCATCTAATACAAATTATTACTATTTGGATTTCAATTTAACTATCTTCCTATTTGCTATCTATGTATCCTATTATGATTCTTTTTCTTTTCTTTCTTAAATTCTTTAGGATTAATTTTTATTATTCTATTTTTCTCCTCTATTAGCTAGATAATTATACATTCATTTACTATTATTTTAGCCTTACCCTAGAGCAATGGTCAGTAAATTATGACCACAGGCCCAGTCTGGCACATCACCTGTTTTTGTAAATATTTTTTTTCCCCACCAAAAGAAGGTTTATTCAGGAAAAGAAAAAAGAAACAAAACCACCACAGCAGTGTAAGAATGCACACCTCCAGCCAGAGCTCCAGCCGGTCGCACACGTGCAAAAAGAAAGAGATCTGTAAAAATTTTATGAGAATACAACCATGCCTATTTGGTTGTTCTATGATGGCTTTTGAACAATAGCAGCTGGGGTGAATAGTTGTGACAGAGTCCATATGGGCAGTAAAGCCGAAAATGTTTAATAACTGGTCCTTTACAAGAAAAAGTTTGCTAACCTTTGTCCTAGACCACAGCGTACGCAACCTTGATATAACAAAACCCCAAACAAAAATTAATGTTTACCTCTTCCCAGACATTGCATGACCCACCACATGGCCAGAAACTATGTCATCCTCTAAGAATAAGAAACAAACTGATTCAATCCCATATTCTCATTGAGTTGACAAGCTAATAGGGGAAATATCACTTGAATTTTTTATAAAGAGAAGTACAAGCTGTAGAAGCAAACAGTTTCCCCTCAGTGTGCCCTTTCTTTTGCTATAAAGCAGTCAATGAGAACTTGGTACAAATTAACTCAAGGAAACCACAAGGAGTGTTCTAATAACTACTGACATCTATCTAGCCAGACTCTAATACCCTATTGCCTATACTATCCTGGGCAAAAATATATCTTTTTAAGTTTCTCAAGCAGAAAAGGAGCATTTATCCATATATATAAATATAAATACTACATATGTTGACTTTGAGCTCAGCGCCTATTCCCACTTTATTTATGCAGTGCTAAAATCTCTTTTCATCCCATTAATTACCCATGAGCAGCTCTTTGCTTTTTTAATTCAGACTTTCTGGAGCAGCAGAAGAAACACATTGACTTTAAAAGGAGTCAAAGTTAACTGCTCATGAAAGTAGAACAATAATAAGCATTATACTAAATGTAGTCCAACAAGTTTTCCTCTACCTCTTACCTCTCAAAGAGCTATGATTTACTAAGTAATGAGTCTGCAACTTAATAATTTTTAAGTTGTCTTCCACAACAACACAGAACAACCAATGGCTTTGAAATAAGACAAGTTTGAATCCCATAGTTCCCAGTTACCTCCCTAAACCTCAGTTTCCTATTTTTAAAATTGGTTTTATTATACACAATGCTAAAAAATGTGTGTCTACCATAAAGTGGGCATTTGTAAATGTTAGTTTCCTTTCAAAAACCAAGATATGGCCTTAGGATTCTGTGCCACATAAATTTATATGTCATCCATCCAGCTTTTTCTAAAACTGAATCTTCTATCTTCTTCATGATCATGGTATCTCCTCCCCTGCCAGGTAAGTATTCTTCTATCTTCTTTAAGCTGTCACTCTTTCTAGCAGAACAATGTTCAAAACCAGGCTCTGGTTTTTGGCTGTGAGATTAGTTGTTGAACTTTCTACCATTTATCTTCATCTGGCAAATGAACTGAAGCCAAAAAGCCATTAAAATGCCAATCTTATCAACAAATTCCCTTTACCTTTTATGTACCCAAAATGTTTACTTAATCACTGTCAGTGAGTGAAAATATCTGTCTAGCCTCAAATTCTATTTACCTCATCAAGTGTCATTTAGGAAGATTACTATAAATATGGAAAATTTAAGAATCCAGAACTTTCAAATGCTATATTTTCAAGGCAGAATTACCTGTTCTCATGCGATGCTCTAACTCCCCAATTTAAAATAATTTTTATACAGCTATTACTGCAAAATGCCTGTAGAATTTTAAAAGTTACTGAAGTTCTAAGCATTTCAGTAGTACAGGCACTCAGTTCTAGCAACTGAGACAGAGAGAATACAGACAGAAAATGATGATCTGCTTTTATATTTACAAGTCAGAATCTCATGTACAGGAGATTAATCCTGCCTTCTTTAGACTTTTAAAATCAGTAAATGAGTTCTTTTTTTTTTTTTTTTCTGAGCCATCCTGCCACCTGTTGGCAGCTCAGCGACTGCTCAGCTCGGGCTGACTCGAACCGCTGTTGCTCAGAGCTCAAACTCTTGAGCGAGCTCTTAACCAACTGAGCCACTCAGCCGGCCCTATGAGTTCTTAAATGGTTCAAAAAAGGCACAAACAAGTACAAAAAAAAGAATGTACACATATATTGGAAATTTATTCTGAATACTGTCTTTGTAATGTCACAGAACCATTTCATTGGTAAGATGAGTCTCATCCATAAAGCAAAAAAATCACTTATTTCTTTAGTAATTAAACTCTCTTTGTCCAGGAAGACAACCACATTATAATAAATACTGCTCTTATGCAAATGCTGTCACAAGTAAGTTTTTAAGATATCTCAGTAAAATCCTCTGGTTCCTAAAAGTTATCAGTGGGTGGCAGCTCCATTTATAAATCCTATGATACATTTCAAATTATAATAAGATACCATTAAATATTACAAGAAAAGTAGTTTTGCTTTCCCTTAATCAAAGCCTAGACATGTACTGTATGTTTTCAATTAAATTTCATTTTATTTTTACTAGATTCATATAAAATTCCCCCAATTATAAATTTCTAGTAGTTTCTTCACTAATACTGAAAAATCCTGACTATTAAAAGTACCACTTTTATTCCTCAACTTTCTCTGGCTTAATTCCCAATAATATATTTACTTTTTACTTACGTGCTTTTCTTCCTAGGCATTAAGACTATCTTATAAACATATTTTATTAACTTCATAAGCTCACTATTAAAATTTTTTTTAAAGCATAATTTAGGGAAATCACTGAATATGCTACTGAAAGAGGCAATTTAGCATAGTGGTTAAAAGCGGTTCAAGTACGGTGTCTGAAATTCTATAGCTCTATATTGGAGCCCAGGCTCTGCCATTTAATAGCTGTATAACCTAGACAAATTACTAATCTTTCTGCCTCAGCTTCCTTATCTATATTAAATGGGCATAATAATAGTATCTACATCATGAGGTTGTAAAGATGAAATAAAATAATCCATGTAGAAAGAATAGCAGAGTGCCAGACATAATTAGTGTTCCATAAGTATTAATTGCTGTTATTACCATTTTTTTCCACTGAAGATAGTAAATCTATGCTTTGCATTTCATTATAACAGGAGACAAGAATTCCACCAAACTCCATATTTAGAAATAAAATAACAAAGGCTAAAGTGGAATGAGGTATCACTATATTGTGCTATTAGGTTGCTAACTGGATTCTAGAATACACAGCTTCCCAAAACTCACCTACAGTGAAGGTACTAACCTAATGTAGAGTCTAAAAGAAATAGAAAGGCTACTTACTGTTCACTGCAACCCACTCATTTAGATCTTCTCCCTCAGGAAGCATGACAGCCATCCGGAGGTTGCCACTGCCGAGTGTGGCTTCTGCGTGCTTTAAGAGCTCATACTGGTGAGAACCCTCTGGAATGTTTTTCTTTGGTTTAAACGTTTTAGAGGAGCGGCTACCACTATAAATAGACAAGAAAAAAGGGCACTTCAATATTTAAGGCATGACTTTCAACAGAGTTTACTATACTATATTACTGGATAAAATAACATACAGGTGACCCTAAATGTCTACAAATAAACAGCCCTGAATTGTATTGGCTACATTAAATCCTAGCAATATAACTGCTGTAACTACTATGTTCGAAACCCAAACTCCTACAAAACTTCTCTATATTCCCTACTGCAACTTCCCAGAAGAAAATGAATTTTTATCCAGCTATTCATAATCAATGAACAATTCAAGATTACATGCTGTAATCTAGAAAAACAAAAAATTACTTCTGTGATTATCTTGTTATTTTATTCCTTTTCACTCCTATTCTAAGTCCCTCGTCCTAATATAATTTGCTTCCATCATAGAAAAAGCATAAAGATACAATTTTATATTAATAAAACACCAAAATCCTAGAGCAAGAAAGAAAAGCTCCATGTTCTTCTACGCAATTATAGGAAGCATCGGCAATTTCAGTCCAGAATTCCAGGTATGCAGATAGGTAGCTAGACATTAATGTAGTTGGTCTGTTCAACTTTCACACTTATATATTTTAAATGGATCAAATGAAACTAGTCTTAGAAATGATTTTAAGAGTTAAGAGATGGATTCTTCTGTTAATACCGGCAAGTTCTTATCTAATTGTATTATATCCTAGCCATCCCTTCTCAGTACTCCCTTTCTTCTCTTCATATGAAAAGGAACAGAAAGGAAAGAATGAATTAGAGTTTGGCTAAGTGACAACTCCATAAAGTTTAATGTTACTAAATTCCTACCACCAAAACATTCAGACATTTGAACATATGAATATGAAAGTGGAATTCAAAAAAGGACACGTAAACAACAGTTATGCTTTCCAACCTCTCCATAGCTTTTCACTCATTACCCTCTTCTCCCAGACGTACCCCCAATATCTCTCCCTTGTTTCCCCAAGTTAAAGTGGTAGCTCTCAAACCCGGCAGCATATTATAATCACATGAAGAGCGTTCACAAAGTACTGAGGATCCGAAATAAACTAAGACTCCACCAGTCAACCCAAATATCCAATTCAAATGACAGGTATTTTTCACTCTAAGGTAATGACTTGTCATTTCAATGTAAGTCTCTACTCAGATGTTTAATTAAGAGTAAACTGATGCTCCTCAATTCTAACAAAGGCCTCTCTCCCCACAGATACCTCCCTCTACTCAACAGCCAAGGTATCTCTTTTAAAGTTAATCGGATGATGTTACTCCTCTGATTAAAACCATTCAGTGGTTTTCCAGTGCGCTCAGAATAAACCCAAAAGTCAAGTATTAGACACAGTCAGGCTCTGGACCCACACTAGAGTGTGGAACCCTGCTTCAGTTTAATCCAATAATGCATTAAACACCACATTCCCTCCCAACATCTCTAAAATATAAAAACAGAAAAGATCATTATGACTACTGAGCTTGAGGCTTTTTTCATTTTCCTGCTTCTTCTCACCCTTTGAGTATCAAAATTTAGGAGAAACAAACTTCACCAACATTTTTTATGAAAAGCCATTTCACTAATTTATGTGTGATTAATTACAAAACTAGCTCTTCAGGCAGCTTGTAGGTGAAGTACAATCCCTTTAATTAGCCCGCAGCTCAGATGGATGCAGCAACTGGAGATGTGACAAGTGGCTCTGAAAAGTGCTGGTGGAGTACAGGGGGACTACAAGGACATCAGCTGTGCCTGCACACAGGAGGGTCAGAGTCTCATCTGCCCCGAAAATCATCTACTTACTGAATCACTCTGCTCTCAAGGTTTAGGCTTCCACTTGTTTTCTTGATTGATGCCCCACAAAGATAAGTAAATCAACCTCATAAAATCTTATACTTGGGTAGAAAACAAAAAAAATTTTGAGTTTGATTTTGTGGAGGCCAGCTTTGACACTTATCAGCTATGCTACCTCAGGTAAATTACCCACCTTTCTTGGGCCTATTTTTTCTTTAACAGTGAAAACCTATAGAAATAACAAAACATCACGACTAGAACAGCTGTAAAATGAGAAAATATATGTGGAAAAAGTTTTTAAAAATGTAAAATGCTGTGCAAATGTTAGTATTTTCATTACCCTTCCTTTTCCTGAACCAGAATGACAAGAGTAAAAACAAAGAAATGATGGTACAATGTCCAAAGCTTTCTTGCAACGCCCATTGCCACCTTCAATTCATCTCCTAAGGCTGGATGCACAAAAAAACATAACCTTACTTTGGAAACAAATGTTTTTACACATTAAGTTCAAAACAGATTTTAAAAAAAATTTTTTTGCTTTGTTTTTTGCTGCTATAACTACATCACAGTTCAGGTTATATCAGAAGAATCATGGGGATAGATTGGACATCAAGAAAACAAGGTTCCAGGGCCGGCCGAGTGGCTCACTTGGTTAAGAGCTCGCGCAAGAGATTGAGCTCTGAGCAACAGCGGTTCGATGCCCGGCCCAAGCTGAGCTGCCGCTGAGCTGCCAACAGGTGGCAGGATGGCTCAGCTTAAAAAAAAAGTAAAGAAAAGAAAACAAGGTTCCATTCCTCATTTTGCTATTTTTGTCTCATGTTATGTAGGAAACCACAAATTTTCATCTGTGCTTCAATTTCTTTATTTTGTTTTGTGAAAGTCTGGAAAATAACATTTTACAAAAGGGTATAATTTAGAAGTAAGATGATGTTTATAAAATGGTTTTAGTTTCCTGTGTACTCCCTTCTCTGTTCCTCATTTCCATGTACATTCATACTTCCAAAATACTTTCAAGTTCTCCCTCTAATTTTCCTTCTCTGACCTTTCTGCTTTATTTAGGCAACCTAACCATTGCAATACTCTACATTTTTAAAACATTCCTTTTTAAAAGTATATTCAGGCACGATGGTTCAAAGTATATTCAGCTTTTTCTTCAATTGTTACCTGAAACTTCCACCAGTATTCACCCCACCCTGGAAGGGATACTCTTACTGCTCCTTATTTCTGGGTCAAAAGACCAGCTGAATGGCGAGGCTGTGGAGAAAAAGGAACCTTGGTGCAGTGTTGGTGGGACTGCAGATTGGTGCAGCCATTATGGAAATCAGTATGGAGGCATCTCAAAAAACTGGACATGGAACTACCGTATGACCCAGCAATTCCACTCTTGGGTATCTATCCAGAGAAACCCAAGACGCTAATTCAAAAAAAATATACGCACTCCTATGTTTACTGCAGTGCTATTTACAACAGCCAAGACTTGGAAACAACCGAAATGCCCATCGGTAGATGACTGGATTAAGAAACTATGGTACATTTACACAATGGAGTATTATTCAGCTATAAAGAAGAAGGAAATAGTACC